AGGTAGACTTTGAACTAGGGGTTGAAAAGTGGTGTGTTTTTTTTTTTTTGTTTGTTTGTTTGTTTTTTGTTTTTCTTTTACAGAATAAATGTTCGTGAGAGTCTAGGTTCAGAAAGATGATTGAAGGTCAGGCAGACCAAGACACTTGCCTGTAGGTTCCTCTGGTAACCTACAGTGCTTGTGCTAGGTGTGATGTGACCTAATATACCTTGTAGAAATGCCCTCTGTGGGACAGTGGCATAGTTCATTGTAAGAGAGCATAAGGCTTAGCCAGTGTCCAGGTCAAAGGCTGTAGTAATTTCAGATAAGAGACAAATTGATCCTGAATGGGTGATAGTCAAAATGTAAAATCTTGGCAAAGAACAGCAGATTACCAAGACCTAGCAACTGTGGGGATTAGAGAGGAAGGAAATTATTGAAGAGGATTATGAATATTTTTCATTGATAGGTGAGTTTCATTTTGAATCTGTTAATTTTGAGGTATCTTTGGGACATCCTGTTGGAAATTTAGATCATGAATTTAGGAAAAACTTTAGAGTTGGTGACCTTTGCCTGGAAGTTGTTAGGGAGGAGGCGTTGATATTGTACACTTTTGAGCTTGTCCGTGGAGGCAGTAGTAAGCAATTTATAGAAAGAGTCGATAAGAGTCATTTAAGGGAAGAACAAGAATGACAGAGAATCAAAAGGAATCTAATGGAAGTACTAGTAGCATACTGTGTTCTCGACACCAAGAAGAGGGAGCAGTTTGTGGCATCTGGTCTCTCTATTTTAAATATATATTATTCTCTTTGTAAATGGTATTTTGTCACTGTGCAGACATCTGGGTCAGTATTCACTTTTTACCTAACAGTTTTAGCATCCATTGATTTTCTTTGACCAAATGAGTTATTTCATTAGGAGTTAAAAATTGTGATTTTGTAATTTTATTATTCTACTTTCACTAGTTGGCATTTTTCTGAAAACACAAGCTTTTTTCCCTTTTCCATTGACATTTTTGGCTTCTCTGAAATACGGTTTCTATCGAAAGTCAGAATATGTTTTTAATACTTTTTCTTTAATACTTTTTCCTCCTTAGTGGAGGAAAATGAATAGAACAGCCAGGTTCCTATCCCATGGTAGTTAGCCCCAAAATCCTTGACATAAAAATTCTACTTGAGTTTCTCTATACTTCCAACCCCTCTTGTCGTCCTGGACATTTAAGGTGCTGTCATTAGTAATTTATGTGCCCTTTATGACTTATTTGAATTTCTCATCAGTATGGACTATCACGTGAAACTGATAGTTTTGCTTTGTTTTGAAGTTAACATGTTCAAGTTTTAAGGAGGGGCTCTTAGTATTTAGGAATACACGAGCTTTAGTGTTTTTATTTGCTTCATTTTTTTTTTTTTTGGACTTTGTCTCTGTCCTCTGTTTATTTTACCATTTCTGTGTTTCTATAGGCAAAGTCAGTCCTCAGTCTCTGGTCCAGGAGCAGCATCCAACTCCTACCAGCATTCTTCTGCACTCATATTTATGCTCTGTCACAGCTTTCTTGAGCTGCTCTGACCAGAAATGTACCAATATTTTCTAGTAAAAAGTACTTGTTGCTAATGTTTAATGCTGCTCTTGAGTTTTAAAAAGTTCATTTTCTGGCCCTAGCCAGTTTTGTTCAGTGGATAGAGCATTGGCCTGGGGACCAAAGGGTCCTGAGTTCAATTCTGGTCAAGGGCAGGTACTTAGGTTATAGGCTTGATCCCTGACCCTGGTCAGGGTACCTGTGGGAGGCAACCAATCGATGTGTCTCTCTCATGTCTATGTTTCTCTCTCTCTGTCTCTCCCCCACCCTCCCACTCTCTTTAAAAATCAATGGAAAAATATCTTTGATTAACAACAACAACAAAAAGTTTATTTTCTGTAGGTTAATTAAAAAAAAAACCTTAAAAAAATTCATGTTAAAGTTTACATTGGTTAATATGTATAGATTAAAAGTTTTTTTTTTTTTTCCATTTTACAGTATTGGCATAGATCCAAGTCTATAAATTTATTTTTAAGTTTTATTATCTGACTAGATGCCCAGTGCACGAAATTCGTGCAGGGGGTGTGTGTGTCCCTCAGCCCAGCCTGCAGCCTCTCCAATCTGGGACCCCTCGAGGGATGTCTGACTGCCCTCCCCTGCAGGCCTGGTTCCCCCCAACCGCCCTCCCTTTCTGGTCTGATCGCCCACAACTGCCCTCCCCTGCTGGCCATCTTGTGTCCACATGGGGTGGCCATCTTGTGTGTTGGAGTGATGGTCAATTTGCATATTACCTCTTTATTATATAGGATGGGACTCATGAAGGAACACAAACAATATCCTAAACTTTGCTAAGATCTAGACAATGCAAACCTTTCATATACTTATTTTTCTATGTTTATATTCACTGTTCATGGTTTAAGTAGCAAAGAAGAATCAGTCATGTATGTAAGATGTACAGATAGCCTACCCTTCACAAAGTTATTAAGGAGAATGTCTCAGTACTTCTCTTGAAGTGGGGTATTGATGTAAGTGGGGTGAAGTCAGGTTAACATTTCTAATTTGTTTGTATAGGAGCTATTTAGATATTGAACTAAAATGTTTGCGTTTCCCACCTTGTATTAGCCTTCTCATTTCTTTTTAGAGCATTGAAATTAAGTTTTACAGCCTGATAGCCAAAGAGAATTGTTTAAGCTGTGATTTAAAGCAATCATTCATTAGCTTGTGGTTGCTCTTGACATTTTAACCCTTTCATGCTGAGACATGAACATGACAAAAAGCTTCTCTCAGGGAACAAACAAAGGAGAAAATGCCAGTCACTTAACCTCCAGTCTTTAACATCTCAGGAAATTGTGCTGTGAATATTGTCCTGTTTTTGTTTTGTTTGTTTTTTGCTTTTGTTGCTGGTAAAATAGATGATAAGCCAATTTTAAAACATAAAGAGACCATCAAGTGTGCTGATGTTGCTAAGGGTGGGAAAGTGCTCACAAAACAGCGATCACTGGCTATGGAAGAGATGGAAAAACTGTTGATTTGGATAAAGGAAAAGCAGTTAGCCAATGACAGCATTTTGGAGGCAGTGCTATAAGAAAAAAGGAAGATGTTGTGCTCCTGGAAGGACTTGTTTAAGGCTAGTTGGGAGTGGTTTGATATACTGAAGAAAAGAAGTGTTTGTTTATAGATTATACTGTACATTAGACATGTACTGTATATAAGAAAAGTTAAAACAGGGATTCATTTAGGGGTCTGGAACAGATTAATTCAATTTACATTATTTCTAATGGGGAAACACTGATTTGTGTGGTTTATTTATTTTTTTTTTTTAACAAATTGCTTCTCGAACAGCCTTTCAGAACAAATTAAGTTTGAGAACCGAGGTCCCACTGTATTTATTAACTGACTAGTTTGTGTGTGTTTTCTTTCTTTCTTTTTTTTTTTTAAGGAAAGCAAATGTTTAATACAATTTGAAATAAGGCAAGCCCCTCAATTCAGGGGTCCTGGTAGAACACAAAACATACTCGGGAGCCAGGCAGCAAGGCAGATACCTTTACTCCTGCAGGAGGGTGCACAGCACATGGTCTGGGTGCACACGCACACCGAGCAGGCGGTCTGCTTGGCTTTTTAATCCTGACGCATGTGACCTGTCCCTCACTCTAGTTTGGAGTTCAGGTGCACAATCTTGCACGATTGCCTAATTCAAAGGGATGGGTTGGCCTTTGCCGTTTCAAGATGGTGGCCCCCAGGAGAGCTGCAAGCATTGCGGCCAACATCGCGGCTGCCAAGTTATGTCCAAAATGGTGGCTGTCTAAGCTGTTCTTTGATAGAAAAGATGATTTGTTTTTTCTCACAGTACTATTTCCTTACACAATCAGTTTTTCAGGTTGTATCACATTTGGTCAGGGTTTATGGATACAGAGGATGAATATCATAAGTCAAATTGAAACTGACAATTGTGCATTGTCACAGAACAGTATTAAAGATTCAAGTTAATCACTCCAGCAGTGGAAACAACTTTGGTCTCCAACAGCTTAAAGATATCACTGTCATATCACTGTGAACAATTATGTGTCTTCTAGAGGCCCGGTGCACGAATTCTTGCATGGGTGGGGTTCCTTGGGGTGGCCTGCGGAGATCGGGTCCCAGCTCGCGCCCCCAGCCTCACACCCTCGCAGCCCCACCTGGCACCCCACCTTGGTCTGGCATTGCCCCCTCACCTGCTCCACATTCTCGCCTGCGGGGTGATCAATTGGGCCCGGCCCCCCCCGACTCCCAACCAGGCTCCCTCAGTGCCTGGGAGCCAGGTGGCAGCCCCGCCCTTCGCCACTGGTCACGGTCTGCGGGACGATCAGCAGGCGTGATCGGGCCCCTGCTTGCACCCTCCTTGGCCTGGTGTCGCCTGCTCACCTGCTCCACCATCCCACCAGGGTCCCACTCCCATCAGGGCCAGCAGCGCCTCATCAACAACGCCTGCCATGTTTCACTCTGTCCCCTGGTGGTCAGCACACGTCATAGTGAGTGTTTGAACTCCCCTTAGAACAATTGCCTGAGGGGACAATTTGCATATTAGGCTGTTGTTATATAGGATTATGTACCATGTATTGGGATAGACTAATTTTTTCTTTACTTAATGTTTGAAATAATGCTTACAAATAGATAGTGAATATTACAAGCTTAGAACAGCAAAAGGGTCTTACATCTCTTTCTCAAAGTCATAAAACTACAAAGATCTAAATAGGGAGCCAAATTCATTAGTCTTTCTTATTTTAAACATTTTTTATAAACTATAGAAAATACCTCAAAATATTATTATGAGATTGGAAAGAAGAAGAGAAAAAAAACAGTAAAAGTTTTGTATGGAAAGTTTTGTTGTTGTTGTTGTTGTTGTTGTTGTTTTTGGTGCATATACTTGGCTTGGGGAGGTTGATTTGGGAGCAAGTGCAAACCAGGTGCATCATTAATTTGCAGAATCTGTTTTTTACAACACAACTTTTTGTTTCTTTTTGAATAGAAAGATGAAAATTACAGAAGCCTCCCACGAGATACTAGTCACTGGTCTAACCAATTTCAGAGAGACAATGCTCGATCATCTCTGAGTGCTAGTCACCCCATGGTGGACAAATGGCTGGAGAAGCAAGAACAGGTAACATAAGGAATCCTTTACCATGCATTTTTGGTATAATATCCTAACCCATACACCAAGATATGTTTTCCTCCATTTCAATAATGATTAAAGGTAAATTATTCTAACAGACTTTAGTTAAGTAACAGGCTGTATGTCAGAGTTTGTCTTACATTAATGTAAAATATCTCTGTGTTGGTTCCTGAGCACAGGTTTCTCATAAGGAGTTATTAATATTTGTGATTCTGAAACATCACAACTTTGGGTTTTGTTATGTGGCTGAGGCACAGATATTTGGCAGTGAATAATGCAATTTATAAGTAGGCTTTTAAGACCACTCATGGGTTCTTCTCTTCTTCTATAGGCAGTAAGTCAAAGGATCTGAAGAGGCAAATTAAAATTTCATTATACCTGACTTAACTTTATGAAAGAAATATATGCTATTGTGTTGTTTCAGAATTTAGATTGCCATGCTTGTGTATTTATCCTTTCATATGTCAAGGAACTATTTTAGGTTTATACTTTTTAGAAGTGCTTAGTTCACTTTGCATGATCACCACATATAATTCATGAAATCGGCATTGTTTACCACTCAGTATAAATAACAGCTTCTTGTTTTGGGAAGAATTGTTTGCAAAGTTTTTATATCATTATTAGAGAGGCCTATTCTTCATATGAAGACTGAAATTTTATCTGGTTATTTTTGTTGTATAAAAATAAAATTCTGCCCTGCTGATGTCACTCAGTGGTTGAGTGTCAACCTATGAACCAGGAGGTCAGGGCACATGCCTGGGTTGTGAGCTCAATCCCCAGTTGGGAGCGTGCAGGAGGCAGCCAATCACTGATTCTCTCACATCATTAATGTTTCTATCTCTCTCTCCCTGTACCTTTCTGTCTAAAATCAATAAAATATATACTTTAAAAAAATTCTTTCAGTTTTCTTTTTTTTAAAGTCTTATTTATTGTTAGTCACAGTGATTTCTTTGCAGTGGGAATGCCCGTGTTTTTTTTTAACAGTTTTAATAGTTTTGATGTTAAAAATTCACTTATTAGGTTATTTCTTCATTTAGTTATTTTCTTAAAATGTTAATATGGATGGAAAACTAGGTGAGTACTCAGTGAGAGAATGTTTTGTTATCCATTTCAGTAATTTCTAAAATTATTAATTTTGTTGTTTAGATACTGGAATAGCTATTTTTCAATTCAGATTAATGATATCAGTGGAAAGAAATACTTAAGTGTTTTAATTAATCCAAGTCTATGTTTTATAGGATAAACCTAAAATATTTTTTGAATGTAGGATGTTCTAATATGAAACTATTAAAAAGAACATTTTGACTTTGATACCACTGATGGTAAAGCACATGCACTGATTTTTATCCTAAGTAAATATTAGCGTACAAAAACATGGTGTGATTGAAATAATTTTGGAAGTTCTATTTAGGAAAAACATAATTTTCTCAAAATAATACAGATTTTAAACTAATTGGTATTAATTCATTATCACTTTGAAGAAAATGGTTTTTTTTTTTTCAATAGGAGTGCTTTAGTGCTCCATGTGCTTAGATTCTTTTTTTATTTTTTTTTTATTTTTTTATTTTTTTTCGCTAAAAGTATTACAAAGGGTATTACATAAGTGTCCTTTTTCCCCCCCCCACCCTTGACAAGCCCCTGCCCTCCCTTACCCCCCAGTGTCTTATGTCCATTAGTTATGGTTATATGGATGCATACAAGTCCTTCGGTTGATCTCTTACTCCCCTCCCTCCTGTCCCCCAACCCTCCCTGGCCTTCCCACTGCAGTTCGACAATCAGTTTGAGGCAGCTCTGCCACTGTATTTATTATTGTTCGAAAGTTTGTAATGGTCTTAATTATCCACGAAAGAGTGAGATCATGTGGTATTTTTCCTTCATTGACTGGCTTGTTTCACTTAGCATAATGCTCTCCAGTTCCATCCATGCTGTTGCAAATGGTAAGAGTTCCTTCTTTTTAACAGCAGCATAGTATTCCATAGTGTAGATGTACCACAGTTTTCTAATCCATCTACTGATGGGCACTTAGGCTGTTTCCAGATCTTAGCTATGGTGAAGAAAATGTTTTTAAGACTTAGATTGTTTAGTATGGGCCTGGAGTCAGACCTGCTGATTGTTATCTTTTTACCACATACGAGATTTGACATGAGATTCTGTCACATTGGTAAATTAGTCCATACCTCCGTTTACTTATTTATCAAATGGGGATAATCATAGAACCTTCCTCAGATGGTTGCTGTATCAAGTAATGTAATACTTGCCAAGGAGCTGGAATCATGCCTGGTTAAAATTATCTGCTGATAATAGAAAATTTAGATTGTATAATAAGGAAACATTCATTACTCATTAACAAGAAGCCTGGAGGAAAGGAAGGGGGAGGCAGAGGTGGTAGTGGAGAGTGAGGATGTTCATTTGTAGCTCAGTGACCTCACTGTGAATCTGGATTCTCCATCTCTTCCAGGAGCCTTCACAGGGCTCCATGCTGTGCTCTCAAGCTTGTCCTTTCCTGCCAAGGACCCAACCATCATATCCTTGCATGGAGGAAGAGGAACAGTGCTTTCTAAGATGTGGGGACTTGCATTATTTGCCTGTTCAGTTCTAAATCAAAGGGAGTAAGAGTACCAGTCTTGGTTTAGTTAGGCTAATTGAGCTTGACCTCCTAGAGCTGGGGGTGAGGTGTAGCCAATTCTCTTCCCTGAAGTACAGCTGCTCATCACTGAATGTAATCAGGGTTCTGTTAAACAAGGAGGAACGTACAGTTAGCTAAATATGTAAATATGACCATTTTTATTGCAAGATTAGGAGAAAAAATTGTCATCTCAGAGTTTTAAAAATAATATACATTTAATTATATTCTACTAGTAAAAGCATAACTTTTATCTTACTACTGCCGTTGTAGATCTGTAAAGGAAGTAATAATGTTTGTCTTTGTAAATTTGGTATAAAATAGTTTCTTTTTTAAGCAAAGGGGATTGCATGTAGAAGCCACATTAACATATTTCCCCAAAAAGCTCTTGATTTGTTTCTCTTGAAGTTATTTGAAGTATTTGTTTCATAATAAGCGAGCTTTGTAAAAAATAAGTGCTTTCTTAATCTATGGAGTCTAATATAGATGACATTAGCTATGATTCCTGAGCCTAAAACATCTTTTTCCTTGGCTTAAGCTTAAAAAATGATGATCCATTCACTAAATTTACATAAGCAGGATAATTAACTAGACAAATCTATTTAACTGGACACTAACAGCAAAAACTAATCAAACCTATATTAAAACTTAGGCTGAAAGTAAGCACAATTGTTTGTGCAGAAGAGGACTAATAGGTTATGCTGCATGCACTGGAAATCTCTTCCAGCTATTTTCATTTAATTGTGAATTTATTCTTTTAACTGTTCCCTGTAGTCACCTGACTTTAATGGCCTGATATCTCCTTTGTGGCTTTTTTCTAGTTAGTTTTTTGTGTGTTTTTTTAAAATATATATTTTATTGATTTTTTACAGAGAGGAAGGGAGGGGGATAGAGAGTTAGAAACATCGATGAGAGAGAAACATCAATCAGCTGCCTCCTGCACACTCCCCACTGGGGATGTGCCCGCAACCAAGGTACATGCCCTTGACCGGAATCGAACCTGGGACCCTTTAATCCGCAGGCCGACACTCTTTCCACTGAGCCAAACCGGTTAGGGCGTCTAGTTAGTTTTTACCATTAAAAATATAATAAAGTGAATGGTATCACATAGATAAAAGGATGTTTTATATGGTTTAAAAAAAATCAACTCTCTGCCTCTACAATTTGGGATCACCAGGGTAGAACTGATGGCTGCCTTCCTTATGAGGTTAATAGAGTTCTAGATTTTATATGTGTCCAATAGTTTTGTCTTTGCTCTATTTCCTACTAGAGAGCTTGTCTCTCGTTATCTCTGTTTTGTTCGAAGACAGTTATAACCACATCAGCTTTGCCATTGGGAATAAACAGTAGGGATGAAAAGGACAAAAGAGTGTATAGAATGCTGAGCTGGCAGGCACCTCTGGAAGCTGAACGTGTCTTTTTCGTTTTGTGGGATTGGTCCTACATAAGGCAATATTGAATTTTCTTTCCCTCTGTTAAAATATTGGTAAGTTATGCCTCTATAACCAAAGATAAATTATGTATATTACTAGAACTCTGTACCAGGAAGCACTTGGCATCAAGCTCAATATTTTTCCCCAAAAATAGTAGTCTTGCTTTTCAGTGAGTAGTTCACTTTGCTCAGAATTGCCTATAGCTGAATCCTATATTAGGTTCATTTCAGAAGGTAGAGGATTGTGTATCTTTCAAAGAAAATCCTTTCCTTATGTCAACCTTGTGACTTCCTTTTTCTGAGAGATCTCAGAGGAAGCACAAAGGATTTGAAGAATAAGTGGGTGGTTGTTGTATTGCCTTGAAAAAGTGTTCATGCTTCTGCAATTTTGATTTCTCAGACCAAAGAAACTATAAAAGTAACAAGCCTTGTAATTTTGATGTTTAATATACTTTACGAAATCTGAATTCCTTTTAACCATTACCATTTCTCTGACTATATGTAGACTATAATTTAATGTTGGAAGTTAATAGATTATATGCCAACTTGTTCTTATATTCCCACTGTTTATTGCAACTAATAAATTCTACAAAAGAGGAGTCAGGAACTTTACAATACATGATTAGAAGAATTACGAACCAGAAAGTAGAGGGACTTTAAAGGAAGTTAAGCTAATTGGGAGCCTGCTGTTTTCACTAACTTGACTTGGTGTACAGGTCTGAAACCAATTAACAAAGATAGCAAGGAGGTGCTAGTCACCTTCCAGCCACAGCTTAAGCTCTGTTATAGGGGAATGACTGCCCTAACCTTTCGAGAAGAATCCATGCTCTAGGTTTTTTTTCCATTAAGCAAAACCTTTATCTAATTGGCAGATTATACTAAAGGAGACAAACTGTTTTAGGAAAACTATTTTAAATGTTTGGTGATGACACA